CACCATCACAACCCCACACCATCACAACCCAACAACCCCACACCATCACAACCCCACACCATCACAACCTCACAACCCCACACCATCACAACCCCACACCATCACAACCCCACACAATCACAACCCCACAATCCCACACCATCACAACCCCACAACCCCACACCATCACAACCCCACACCATCACAACCCCACAACCCCACAACCCCACACCATCACAACCCCACACCATCACAACCCCACAACCCCACAACCCAACACCATCACAACCTCACACCATCACAACCCCACACCATCACAACCCTACAACCCCAAACCATCACAACCCCACACCATCACAACCCCACAACCCCACACCATCACAACCCCACACCATTACAACCCCATTCCATCACAACCCCACACCATCACAACCCAACACCATCACAACCCGACAACCCCACACCATCACAACCCCACACCATCACAACCCCACACCATCACAACCCCACAACCCCACACCATCACAACCCCACACCATCACAACCCCACACCATCACAACCCCACAACCCCACAACCCCACACCATCACAACCCAACAACCCCACACCATCACAACCCCACACCATCACAACCCCACAACCCCACACCATCACAACCCCACACCATCACAACCCCACACAATCACAACCCCACACCATCACAACCCCACACCATCACAACCCCACAACCCCTCACCATCACAACCCCACACCATCACAACCCCACAACCCCACACCATAACAATCCCACACCATCACAACCCCACACCATCACAACCCCACAACCCCACACCATCACAACCCCACACCATCACAACCCCACAACCCCACACAATCACAACCCCACAACCGCACACCATCACAACCCCACAACCCCACACCATCACAACCCCACAACCCCACACCATCACAACCCCACAACCCCACACCATCACAACCCCACACCATCACAACCCCACACCATCACAACCCCACACCATCACAACCCCACACCATCACAACCCCACACCATCACAACCCCACAACCCCACAACCCCACACCATCACAACCCCACAACCCCACACCATCACAACCCCACACCATCACAACCCCACAACCCCACACCATCACAATCCCACACCATCACAACCCCACAACCCCACACCATCACAAACCCACAACCCCACAACCCCACACCATCACAACCCCACACCATCACAACCCCACACCATCATAACCCCACAAGCCCACAACCCCACACCATCACAACCCCACAACCCCACACCATCACAACCCCACAACCCCACAACCCCACACCATCACAACCCCACACCATCATAACCCCACAAGCCCACAACCCCACACCATCACAACGCCACACCATCACAACCCCACACCATCACAACCCCACAACCCCACACCATCACAACCCTACAACCCCACAACCCCACACCATCACAACCCCACACCATCACAACCCCACAACCCCACACCATCACAACCCCACAACCCCACACCATCACAACCCCACACCATCACAACCCCACACCATCACAACCCCACACCATCACAACCGCACAACCCCACACCATCACAACCCCACAACCCCACAACCCCATAACCCCACAACCCCACACAATCACAACCCCACACCATCACAAACCCACACCATCACAACCCCACAACCCCACAACCCCACAACCCCACACCATCACAACCCCACACCATCACAACCCCACAACCCCACACCATCACAACCCCACAACCCCACACCATTACAACGCCACACCATCACAACCCCATACCATCACAACCCCACAACCCCACACCATCAAAACCCCACACCATCATCACCCCACACCATTACAACCCCATACCATCACAACCCCACACCATCACAACCCCACACCATCACAACCCGACAACCCCACACCATCACAACCCCACACCATCACAACCCCACACAATCACAACCCCACAACCCCACACCATCACAACCCCACACCATCACAACCCCACACCATCACAACCCCACAACCCCACACCACCACAACCCCACAACCCCACACCATCACAACCCCACACCATCACAACCCCACACCATCACAACCCCACACAATCACAACCCCACAACCCCACACAATCACAACCCCACACCATCACAACCCCACAACCCCACACCATCACAACCCCACAACCCCACACCATCACAACCCCACAACCCCACACCATCACAACCCCACAACCCCACACCATCACAACCCCACACCCCCACACCATCACAACCCCACACCATCACAACCCCACACCATCACAACCCCGCACCATCACAACCCCACACCATTACAACCCCACAACCCCACACCATCACAACCCCACAACCCCACACCATCACAACCCCACACCATCACAACCCCACAACCCCACACCATCACAATCCCACACCATCACAACCCCACAACCCCACACCATCACAAACCCACAACCCCACAACCCCACACCATCACAACCCCACACCATCACAACCCCACACCATCATAACCCCACAAGCCCACAACCCCACACCATCACAACCCCACAACCCCACACCATCACAACCCCACAACCCCACAACCCCACACCATCACAATCCCACACCATCATAACCCCACAAGCCCACAACCCCACACCATCACAACCCCACACCATCACAACCCCACACCATCACAACCCCACAACCCCACACCATCACAACCCCACAACCCCACACCATCACAACCCCACACCATCACAACCCCACACCATCACAACCCCACAACCCCACACCATCACAACCCCACAACCCCACAACCCCACAACCCCACACATCACAAACCAACACCATCACAACCCAATACCATCACAACCCCACAACCCCACACCATCACAACCCCACATCATCACAACCCCACAACCCCATACCATCACAACCCCACACCATCACAACCCCACAACCCCACAACCCCACACCATCACAACCCCACACCATCACAACCCCACACCATCACAACCCCACACCATCACAACCCCACAACCCCACACCATCACAACCCCACACCATCACAACCCCACACCATCACAACCCCACAACCCCACACCATCACAACCCCACACCATCACAACCCCACACCATCACAACCCCACACCATCACAACCCCACACCATCACAACCCCACAACCCCACACCATCACAACCCCACAACCCCACAACCCCACACCATCACAACCCCACACCATCACAACCCCACAACCCCACACCATCACAACCCCACACCATCACAACCCCACACCATCACAACCCCACAACCCCACACCATCACAACCCCACAACCCCACACCATCACAACCCCACACCATCACAACCCCACAACCCCACAACCCCACACCATCACAACCCCACAACCCCACACCATCACAACCCCACACCATCACAACCCCACACAATCACAACCCCACACCATCACAACCCCACAACCCCACACCATCACAACCCCACACCATCACAATCCCACAACCCCACACCATCACAACCCCACAACCCCACAGCCCCACACCATCACAATCCCACACCATCATAACCCCACAAGCCCACAACCCCACACCATCACAACCCCACACCATCACAACCCCACACCATCACAACCCCACAACCCCACACCATCACAACCCCACAACCCCACACCATCACAACCCCACACCATCACAACCCCACACCATCACAACCCCACAACCCCACACCATCACAACCCCACAACCCCACACCATCACAACCCCACAACCCCACAACCCCACAACCCCACACATCACAACCCAACACCATCACAACCCAATACCATCACAACCCCACAACCCCACACCATCACAACCCCACATCATCACAACCCCACAACCCCATACCATCACAACCCCACACCATCACAACCCCACAACCCCACACCATCACAACCCCACACCATCACAACCCCACACCATCACAACCCCACACCATCACAACCCCACAACCCCACACCATCACAACCCCACACCATCACAACCCCACAACCCCACACCATCACAACCCCACACCATCACAACCCCACACCATCACAACTCCACACCATCACAACCCCACACCATCACAACCCCACAACCCCACACCATCACAACCCCACAACCCCACAACCCCACACCATCACAACCCCACACCATCACAACCCCACAACCCCACACCATCACAACCCCACACCATCACAACCCCACACCATCACAACCCCACAACCCCACACCATCACAACCCCACAACCCCACACCATCACAACCCCACACCATTACAACCCCACAACCCCACAACCCCACACCATCACAACCCCACAACCCCACACCATCACAACCCCACACCATCACAACCCCACACCATCACAACCCCACACAATCACAACCCCACACCATCACAACCCCACAACCCCACACCATCACAACCCCACACCATCACAACCCCACAACCCCACAACCCCACAACCCCACAACCCCACACATCACAACCCCACACCATCACAACCCCACACCTCAAACAACTGCTCCCACTTTTTTGTTTAAAGACGTTTAGTGGGGTTTTTCTGCGTCTGTGTGTGTGTGTTTATGTGTGTGTTTATGTGTGTGTTTATGTGGGGGCGGAGGGCTTTTGAATGTACTTCTATCTGATTATATGTGATTGCACGTGAGTGGGTGAGACAGATTACGTGTGTGTGTGAGTGTGTGTGTGCGAGTGTAAAAGGACATGCCGTTGAAACCACAACATATAATTAATAATTAACCTCCGTGTTTTAAATTCCACCTTTTGTTTCCTGCTCCCCCCCCCCCCTTCTCCCCCGCCTGACAGCTCGCTCGTTGATTGGTCGGCTGTACGTCACGTGGAGTGGCAGGTCTGTAGTGGGCGGGGCTACAGTTCCCATTTTTACAGGAGAGAGCAGGGAGCGGGTCATTACTTACAGCCAGACACCAGAAAATTAATGGCCAACATGGCTTGTCTTACGCCGACACACACGGAAGATTCCGGCTTCAGTTTGCCGGCTGTCGGCCCGACAGACAGCAGCGAGTTCGTGTCTTCACCCCAGGGCGGATACCACCCAACCCAGGCCGGCTACCCCGCCGAACAACCCGGCTATCCAGCTGAGCAGCCCGGCTACCCAACAGAACAATCCGGTTACCCGACAGAACAATCCGGCTTCCGGCAGGATGAGAGCTACGATTACCGGGACGTGTTCTCCCAGCCGGGCGTCATCTGCTACGGCTACAATCCCGCGACCCACGGGACCCGCGGGTACCAAGACACCCGCAGCCAAACTTTCAGCTGCCCACGGACAGGCCAGAGTTACCCGGATCCGGCCGGTGACTTCCGGCAAACTCCCACCGGATGCTCGTCTATCGCTTCTTCCCCCCGTGGGTTCAGCGAAGAGACCGGCTGTAGGGCCGGACAGTTGGGTGACCGTCAGACCGGCTCTAGGCGCTGTAGCGATGATAGCGCCGATGAAGAAGACGAAAACACAACGAAGGGGGAGAGCGATGACGAGGATATCAAGCCCAAGTCATCACATGATACCAGCAACTATCATCAGGATACAAGCAACTATCATCAGGATACAAGCACTTATCATCAGGATACCAGCACTTATCATCAGGATACTTATCAGACACTGTCGGAGATGGCGTGTCGTGACGTCAGCTACAGCCATCAGGTCGTTGACCTGTCGCGTAGCTACGTCAGTTCTCCCCCCTTCCCCCCCATGGGCAGCCAGAATCATGAGCAGGCTCAGCCAGTACCCAGCCGATCCGTCTACTCATTGGACGACGCGCAGAGGGTCCTTGTAGGACCCAGATCTGTGCATGTCCTACAGGACCTGGGGCAGGAGGACTCGGCTGGTAACCATGGCAACCAGTACCGCTACGTGCAGCATCAGATTCCCGTGACTGTGGACGATGTTAAGGACGGCGCCATGACGCCCTGCATGACGCATGACTCCATGACGCATGACTCCATGACGCAGATCAACAGCCTGCACTACATGAGCAGCGGGTACCTTGGCCATGACATGTCCCCCGGGGTCCCCAGCAGACCCGCCTACACCCCCGACACGGCCTTGAACCTCATCCAACAGCATGACGTCACACGCCCCTATGGGGACGGGGCGAAGCACGGCTTGACCCAACTGACCGGAAGTCTGGACTACCCGGGATACAACGGCATCAAACCCCAGCTGGACGATGTCAGACCACACATCTACCCGTGGATGAAGAAGTCGCAGACTGGGAAATGTAAGTTCTTTAGTAGTCGTAGTAGTAGTAGTCGTAGTAGTCGTAGTAGTAGTAGTAGTATTAGTAGTAGTAGTAGTAGTAGTAGTCGTAGTAGTAGCAGTAGTACAGTAGCAGTAGTAGCAGTAGTAGTGGTCGCAGTGGTGTCGTCTAATTTAACATTTCTAATTTATTCATTTGTTGGCTAGATCAAGCATTAGAAATAAAAGCTCGTTAACTCTCTATAATTTTATTATTAGTATTATAACATTGGTTTTATAATAATAATATCCAGTTACATGAATTTATTATTATTATTATTATTATTATTATTATTATTATTATTATTATTATTATTATTATTATTATTATTATTATTATTATTATTATTATTATTATTATTATTATTATTATTATCATTACTACTATTACCATTAATTACTATTACTATTATTACTATTATTATTATTATTATTATTATTATTATTATTATTATTATTATTATTATTATTATTATTATTATTATTATTATTTTATTATTATTATTTTATTATTATTATTATTATATTTATTATTATTGATGTAATTCCAATTTTTATAATTGTCATCATTTAACAACCCTCAGTTCGCCAAAACATTAAATTCACTTTTCTAAGACACAAAAATTGAGACACAAATTGAGCCACACACATTGAGACACAAATTGAGACACAAATTGAGACACACAAATTGACTATCGCGTCGACTCAATTGACAGTACAAATGAAATGTGCCAGAGTTAAGAAGACGTGACATAAATTTGTCGCCGCTAATCTGTAAACAAACATTTTTTGTCAGCGGGAACTCAATTCTCTGGGTTTTTTTAGGCTTTAGGGAAACGCTTAGATACTGATCCGTCAAAGTTTGGTCTGTCAAAGTTTGGTCTGTCAAAGTTTGGTCTGTCAAAGCTTGGTCTGTCAATGTTTGGTCTGTCAAAGTTTGGTCTGTCAAAGTTTGGTCTGTCAAAGTTTGGTCTGTCAAAGTTTGGTCTGTCAAAGTTTGGTCTGTCAAAGTTTGGTCTGTCAAAGTTTGGTCTGTCAAAGTTTGGTCTGTCAAAGTTTGGTATGTCAAAGCTTGGTCTGTCAAAGCTTGGTCCGTCAAAGTTTGGTCTGTCAAAGTTTGGTCTGTCAAAGTTTGGTCTGTCAAAGTTTGGTCTGTCAAACTTTGGTATGTCAAAGTTTGGTCTGTCAAAGTTTGGTCTGTCAAAGTTTGGTCTGTCAAAGTTTGGTCTGTCAAAGTTTGGTCTGTCAAAGTTTGGTCTGTCAAAGTTTGGTCTGTCAAAGTTTGGTCTGTCAAAGTTTGGTCTGTCAAAGTTTGGTCTGTCAAAGTTTGGTATGTCAAAGCTTGGTCTGTCAAAGCTTGGTCCGTCAAAGTTTGGTCTGTCAAAGTTTGGTCTGTCAAAGTTTGGTCTGTCAAAGTTTGGTCTGTCAAACTTTGGTATGTCAAAGTTTGGTCTGTCAAAGTTTGGTCTGTCAAAGTTTGGTCTGTCAAAGTTTGGTCTGTCAAAACTTGGTCTATCATTTCAGTATTTTGTTGACGGCTCCGCTTGCTACTCTAACTTTTAATAATCTTGTTATTTTGTGAGGGTCAAGATTATTTAGAACGTGTTTAACGGCATCAACTGTTTGGTTGTATTATGTAGCACCAATGTTACATTTCTGTGTGACGTCACCCAATTTTAGCACCCCTTGGCCAACATTACGTCATAATTTCTATGAGTTACTTAATTCACAATGCATCAATCAAACTTTATTTAATAGAACCAAAGTTTAATATACACAAGGCCATTAATTAAGAAATTAAGGTTAATCATTATCTTAATCACCAAGGCCGCTATGGATGCTGATCACTTAATGAAGTAACAATCATTAGTCTAATTATACTGGTCTATACATTTACAAGTCCAAAGTCGTCAGTGAAGTTTGTTTATTGTAGGATATTTTCAGCTAGCCAATGAAAAAACATAACAAAGTTTGCCTTAGAAATGGCTGTCTGAAACTAACATTCCCACTAAGATGAAACGTTCGCGTGCAACATCTATTTTGTGTGCGCCGGGTTAGAAAAGATACAAGGATAAACCTAGTTTACAAAATGAATAAACACAGCTTATAGGAAACATTGGTGAATAGACACACAGCTTATAGGAAACATTGGTGAACAGACACACAGCTTATAGGAAACATTGGTGAACAGAGAACAGACACACAGCTTATAGGAAACATTGGTGAATAGACACACAGCTTATAGGAAACATTGGTGAACAGACACACAGCTTATAGGAAACATTGGTGAATAGACACACAGCTTATAGGAAACATTGGTGAACAGACACACAGCTTATAGGAAACATTGGTGAACAGACACACAGCTTATAGGAAACATTGGTGAACAGACACACAGCTTATAGGAAACATTGGTGAACAGACACACAGCTTATAGGAAACATTGGTGAACAGACACACAGCTTATAGGAAACATTGGTGAATAGACACACAGCTTATAGGAAACATTGGTGAATAGACACACAGCTTATAGGAAACATTGGTGAACAGACACACAGCTTATAGGAAACATTGGTGAACAGACACACAGCTTATAGGAAACATTGGTGAATAGACACACAGCTTATAGGAAACATTGGTGAATAGACACACAGCTTATAGGAAACATTGGTGAACAGACACACAGCTTATAGGAAACATTGGTGAACAGACACACAGCTTATAGGAAACATTGGTGAACAGACACACAGCTTATAGGAAACATTGGTGAACAGACACACAGCTTATAGGAAACATTGGTGAACAGACACACAGCTTATAGGAAACATTGGTGAACAGACACACAGCTTATAGGAAACATTGGTGAACAGACATACAGCTTATAGGAAACATTGGTGAATAGACACACAGCTTATAGGAAACATTGGTGAACAGACACACAGCTTATAGGAAACATTGGTGAATAGACACACAGCTTATAGGAAACATTGGTGAATAGACACACAGCTTATAGGAAACATTGGTGAATAGACACACAGCTTATAGGAAACATTGGTGAACAGACACACAGCTTATAGGAAACATTGGTGAATAGACACACAGCTTATAGGAAACATTGGTGAATATACACACAGCTTATAGGAAACATTGGTGAACAGACACACAGCTTATAGGAAACATTGGTGAATATACACACAGCTTATAGGAAACATTGGTGAACAGACACACAGCTTATAGGAAACATTGGTGAATTTTTAAAACATTTTTTTTACTTTCTCTTTTATACAGAGTAGGCCTATAGAGAAAGTATTGTAATCGTGCAAAAAAAAAATCGAGATTTTTTCAAATCTCGACGCTTTACACCTCGTTGAGTCGGAAAAACATAATTTTGCAATTTTGTCCGTATGTCTGTGTGTGTATGTGTGTGTGTGTGTGTGTGTGTGTATGTGTGTGTCTGTAAACACGATAACTTGAGTACCGTTATAGCTAGGTTGGTGAAATTTCAAATATAAGTATATTATAAAATTTGTAGATTCGTATAAACTTTTTAGCGATTTCCGTTAACTGGAAGTGGAACTTTTTCTACTTTCAATTTTTAAAAAGCCTATAACTTAAATACTATTTCAGATTGACCGGAAATTGTAATGTACGCTATTTCAAATTTCTCAAAAAAACGCATGTGAATTTATAAAGTACTAATAATATCCCGCACTATTATGCACATTTTGTTTGGCGTTCACTTGGTGTGCAATTTATTTTTCTAAGAGTTTATATTCTATTTTAAAAAGTTTAAGTAATCAATAAACCGGGAGTGATCTCCCCTAAACTTTCTCGAATATTCTTATAATAAATAACAGGGGATGGGAACCAGTGTTTCTTCCAGACTTTTTTCTCCGGGGGGGCACTTGAAATCTTCGGGGGGGCGGTAAACTTTCTTCGGGGGGGCGGACACTGTTAAAAGTATATATTTTCTATATAAATTATATAAATTTTATTTTGTTCGGGGGGGCGGTAAAAAATTTTCGGGGGGGCTTCGCCCCCCCGAAGAGATGCCTGGAAGAAACTCTGATGGGAACTCGGGTTATAGACATGATTTTTAATCCATTTTAAATACTTAAAGTTTTAAAAATAGAATAAAATCTCTTAGACAAATTAATTGCACACCAAGTGAACGCCAAATAAAAAAGCGCATAATAGTGCGCAATATTATTAGTACTTTTAAAATTTACATTAGTTTTTTGAGAAATCGGAAGTAGCGTAAATTACTACTTCCAGTCAACGGAATTTACTCAAAATTTAACAGAAGGTAGAGAATTAGATCTTTTACTTACATGTGAAATTTCATTTATCTATCTGAAATAGTACTCAAGTTATAGGCTTTTGAAAAATTCAAAGTAGGAAAAGTACCACTTCCGGTTATCGGAAATCGCTCAAAAGTTGATAAGGATCTACGATTTTGATAAAATACTTATATATGAAATTTCATCAACCTAGCTGTAACGGTACTCAAGTTATCGTGTTTACACATGGACAGACAGACAGACAGCCAGACACACAGACATACGGACAAGATTGCAAAATTATGTTTTTCCGTATCAGTGAGGTGTAAAACGTCGAGATTTGTAAAAATCTCGATTTTTTTTTTTTTTTTGCACGATTACAAGACTTTCTCTATACTTCGTATATACGAGAAAGTAAAAATGGATTTAAAATATTGTCTATATCCCGAGTTGCCATCCCCCGTAGTGTTTAGAAAGCTTAGGGGAGATCAGTCCCGGTTTATTTTATTTGTAATAGAGTTACTTAACTAAAATCTATTGCGCACCTAATGAACGCGCGTATAATAGTGCGGAATAGTTGGATAAGACTGCCTATTAATTTGGACACAATTTTAATTAATAAATAAAATATTAATTAGGCATCCAATTAACTCAAATGTAATTTCATATTACATTATCTTCATGTCTTGACCCACGTACCAAC